CTTTTGAAGTGGATTTTTAATTATTCTTTATTTTTTCTTAAAAAAATCACAATAATTATGTAAAAATAATAAAATTAATAAAATTTAAATAAATATAAATTGATTATTTTTAATTCCGATTTGCTTGGCTGATTTTAGGCTGATTTAGGTTGATTGATGATCAAATTTAAGTAATTTTTAGGCCAATTTTAGATAGCCGATTAATGACCGATTGATATTTCCGATTGACTCATATTGTGTCAATCGGAATTAATGTAAATCAGCCCTAAATCGGCTATCAATCAACTATTAATTGTCCATCTGATTTTTAGCCGATTTGTACCCATTTCGACCAGTATATTGAATACATGAGATAATCCTTTCTGGCATTGCTCTTTCTTCTATATAGATTAAATGAATGTGATGATAAAATTTTTAACTTGATAGAATAGTTTACAAAGTACTTACATCGCCTCTATTAGAATTGGTCTCTTTTCTTTTCTTTTCTAACTTGACTTTTTTTGGATCAAGACTAACATTCTAATTCTCATGACGGTGACGATGTAACTGTTATAAAACCCACCTTAGCTCTGTGTCTTTGTATTGAAATCTTCCCTTTATAACTTTATCGATCTCCTTCATTATATGTTTTGCAACATGTTAGATGATATCTGTTCATCTTTTGGTATAATCTAGTTATAATGCATCATCAAGACCGCTAAGAACCTGCACTACTTCATCCTTATTTAAAAAAAATGCAATAATTAAAAAACAATAATTATAGTAAAAAAACAATAACTTACATGAAAACTCTTATATTGCTCTTCGTTCATATTTTCAAGAATATTTCTAATATGACGATAGCCAGCTTCTGATGTCAGAATTACTGATATTCTTCTTCAATTATATTGAGTCAATTGAAACAACTCATTTGGTTCCCATTAAGAGGCAGGCTGCCTTGATGTTTTGAACCTCTTCTATAAGTATGCTGATAGCTCTACTTAGGGTCTCGATCATTGTAAATTAATATCATTAACAGTAAAAATATATTCTTTTTTAAAAAATATCAACTAACCATATCATTATCATATCCTCTTAGCAAACAAATATTGCTAAATCTTTTTGAATCCATGATGATTGATGAACAGTCATTATCATAACCTCTTGGATTCCTGATGGATGGTAAGCGGTCGTTATCATGACCTCTTGAATTCTGAACAGATGATAAATGTCTCCTTTGAATACTTAGTGAATGACTATTACTAAATCTTTTCGAATCTATGATGATTAGTGAATAGTCATTATTATGATCTCTTAGATTCCTGATGGATGGTAAGCGGTCATTATCATGACCTCTTAAATCCCAAACAGATGATGAATGGCTCCTTTGAATACTTGGTGAATGACTTCTTCTAGTATTTAGTGAACGACTTCTTCTAGTTTTTGGTATATGACCCTTTCTGATCCTTAAAGATTGTTAGATTCTCAATGTAGATTTTATAAATATGTACTTTTTTACCTTGATGAATGACTTAACGAGAAATGATAGTATCTTAAACCTTTCCTTTCTGATGAAGGATGAGGATATTTTTTTCTTGGTAAAGAATTTAATGAATAATGAGAGTATCTTAGATTATTTATTCTTGATGAATGGCAACTTTGTGAATATGTATAGTATGATCTTAAATGTCTTTAACTTATTGTGTTAATTTTGAATGATTTTTGATTGCGTATTTTTAACCAAGAGAAAAAATAAATATAGTTTGAAGAAAAAAGAATGATTTTTTTTGTTTTTGTTTTTATTTTTTTTTTATTAATAAATAATACATCTTTTTTTTATTAATAGTCAAATGAAATCAATCTAATGAAATAAAAAATCAATTTATCAAAATTAGAAAATCAATCAATTTATATTCATAAATTAATCTATACTTAGACTACAATTTAATTGCCTTATTAGATGTCTATTAAATTGATTAATTGATTACAAATCGATGTCAATTAAACTTAATATCAAATATATTATTTTGTAAACATATATATATATGATTTTTGTATAACAAACGTAAATATATCGTTTCAAAATTTTTTTTTAAAAAAATTATTAACTACAATAGTCAAAAACATATCAAAAAATGAAAAAATCTTAAAATCTAATAATCCATCAGTTGACAATAATAAAAGTAAATTGAAGAAAATACATTATTATTGTGATAAATGCAAAGGTTGCTTGATTGATTCACATACAGAAAAAAACATAATTTAAGAAAGAATATTAGACTGAGAGAAATTATCAAAAATATAGTTTTAAATCGAAGTTTATCTGATGATCCAAGTCAAGATATATTGGTAAATCTTTTGAATGATCCAATAGAAGTTGACACTTCAAGTAACGATAATGATCAAACATTCAAACCTATTTAACCTATTGAAAACACTTCATTTCTTCCCAAAAAATTACCTAAAGGTGATTCAAAAGGAAAACAAAAAAGTATCAGTGGTGGTGGTGATGGTGGTATTAAAAAGAATCCTGTCATTATTATTGAATATAGTATTTCTGATGATAGTGATGATGATAATAATGATGATCTGAATGATAGTGATCTCGATTCTATTGAAGGAAGTCTGAATGAATCTTATTCATCCAATGGAGTGATTTTGATATACTGGAAATGGAAGATGTATATAATGATTCTGAAAAACCTATTGTTAATTTTAATGAAAGTTCTAACTGGATTGTCTTGTAGATTTTGTTATATCAAGAGAGGTATAAGCTATCTGATATTTCTACTAATTCTTTGATTAAATTTTTTAGATATCTTTTGATTCTTCTGAACGCAAACACATATAATGCTTTTGCTACATTACTATATATGGCATAAAAAATACTTAGCATATGTGCTCATATCGTAAAATATGCAATATGTAAAAAATGCTATAAATTATATAATATAGTGGAGATATTAACCGCTAAGCCTACTCAATCTCTAGTTAAAAGCCATTGTACTTATATCGATTTACCAAACTATCCAATAGCAAATCAAAGAAAAAAATGTATGGTGAAACTTACTAAAACAGTTCACACTATAGATAGAGTATTATATCGGCCTTCTTTAATATATCCAATGGTTAATTAAAACACCAATTACAATTGATGTACAATTGAAAGGATTTGAGGAATTATACAGGAAATGGACAGATCAGATAGTGATTCTCAATATTTGAATAATATTTACAATGGAAGAGTTTGGAAAACATTCTAGAACTAAAACTAAAATATACTATTTTTTCAGAAAGAAGTGGCTGATAGACATTTGGGAATTATGCTAAATATCGATTGGTTTCAGCTATTCAATAACACTAATTATAATGTAGAAGCTGTATATAGTGTAATATGTAACCACCTTCCACAAAGTGAAAGATTCAAGCCATCGAACATTTTGATAATAGCTTTGATCCCTGGTCTAAATGAGCTAAGCCTACACTGTATAAATTTTTATTTGGTTCCGATAGTCAATCAATTGATTGAATTATGAAACGAGATTGAACTATCAGCAACATATGAAAGCACTAATAAGCCTATTAGAGTTGCAGTAATATGCTGTTCTTGTGATAACACAGACGCAAAAAAGCTTTGCGGCTATATATCTGCACGCGTGGCTTGTCATAGATGTTTAAAAAAGGCACAATTTGATAATTGTCATCAACTAAATTTCAGTGGATTTAACAATATTGATGAATGGTTTGTTGAAAGGGATATTGATCAAGTTCAAAAAAATACACAAGAATGGTTATGGTTGTAATACTAAAAATGCTAGAATTATTCATATACATAATACTTCAGTGCGCTGGTCTGAAATGTACTGTCTCACATATTTTGATTCAGTGCGATTTCTCATTATTGATCTTATGTATTGTTTGTTTCTAGGTATCATAAAATAGATCATAACACGATTGTAGATTAAAGAAGGTTGATTGAAATAAAATGATCTTAAAACAATGCAAAATAAGGCTAAGCTAATAAGGCTAAGCTAATAAAAGTTCCAGTGGATATTGACAGGATTCCATATAGAATTGATACAGAAGAGGGGTTCTCAGGTTTTACTGCAGATCAGTGAAAAACCTTCATCCTTATATACGCAACTACGATTACTTGAGATCTGCTTTGAGAATCAGATAGAGTGATTCTCACCAATTTTGTTTGCGTATGCAATATTCTTGTATGTAAAACTGTATCTAAAAATGGATTAAAAAATGTTTACGAATAACTTTTAACAATGGTAAAGCTTATCAAGAAGTATTATGATCCAGAAAAAATTTCACTGAATTTACATTTATGTCTACACATTTGCCATTGTGCTTTAGATTATGATCTGTTATATGCATTTTGGTGCTTTAGTTATAAAAGGATGAATGGTTTATTTGGTAATTATAATACTTCTATCAAATTTACTGATATTGACTTCGTATTTATTAAATTATTTTATATTTAAGGCTCATAGCATACTAGTAACAGAAAAATTGAGCCAGAATTATTAAAAATTATTTAATATAATTTCCTGCTTGACCAGTTTTCTTCATATACTTAGGATTATCAACATTTTTGGCTTGTTTACCTTTGATAGCGCCAAAAAAGACTACCAGTAGTCTTACAGTTTAAGATGAACTCGATGGAATAGACTATCGTGAATTTTATCAATATCTAAAAATGTTGAGAAAATGATTGGAATAGGTTCAGAATCCTTTCCGGATACTTTTCTTAATCCTAAAAGAATAAATACAGACTTATCAAAAAAATATTAGATTTGTTGGTTGAATATTATTGTAATGCTTATAACAAAGATTTTGTAGTATTATCAAACATTCATGTTGCTAATCTAGAAGCTATATCAGTACTTTCAAAAGTGAATATTTACGGGCGATTATGACTTGGCTCTGAAGTTTTCAGATTATCGTACTCTAAAAGACACATCTGATTGTCTAAAATTCTATCTCAATTTACATATGAAAATACTAAAGAAACTTATTCTGGAATTGTTCAATATTATTTTGAGCATATTGTACATTTTTCAGAAGGATCTAAGAATTATTTATTGGCATTTGTAAGGTGGTATTTTCTGGCAGAAAATCATAAAACTAGATTTTATTGTGATAATATATTTGCAATATTGAACTATGGAAGAAAAAATTTTACAACTTTAGTAGAGATTGCATAATTCCAGTACATAGTATATTGAGTTGATTTGTTGAAGGTTCTTTTATAATAGGCAAAAGGAAATACATATCAATGATACTGATTAATAGAAAGATTTATATTTAATATGTCATATTGTATCATGCAATATTTATAATTAATACAATAAACAAATAATTAAATCGTAACATTTATTTGAACTAATATATTTATTTTTTTCTGTTTTTAATAAAGAAAAATTCATATAATTTTTTCTTCGAAATTAAAATTTCAGGTATTTAAATAAATTATTGATATTTTGCTAATACCTCTTAATAGATTATTGCAAAATCGTTAATATATTGTATAACTATCAGAATACTAAAAGGTATATAATTTATTGTATATTATTCTCTAGCATGTCTTTTAAATAGTCAGTCTTTTATAGTGTAAAAGCTATGGGTTTATTGGGATTCTAATTATTAACTAATAAAAAAATACCAGTCAGTTAAGAATCAAAACTGATTTGATCCTAATTCTTAAATAGCTGGTACTATTCTGATTTTTCATTATTCAACCTATAAAACTAAATAAACTCTTGTTTATGAACTTATCGAAATATGAATTTTACAATTAATTTTCTAATTAACTAATTATAAACTTAATTAACTTTTTGACCACCTATAAATCTAACTGTCTTTTAACTACTGCAATTTCCTATCCTATTTATATAAAATATTAGACCTATTTCTATTATTAATTAAAGATATAGTAAAACTATAGGGGCTGGGATAACATTATAAACTTTATTAAGTATATAATTAATTAATTTAATTAATTTAATTAAGTAAACAAAAGAAATTTATTAAATTTAAATAACTATATAAACTTAATTAACAACATTATTATTATTTTTGAGGTTTCAGTTATTTTGATTATCAGGACTGTAGTTTAAGAAATTATGGCTTTCTTTAGTAATGATTTACTGAATTATAATAGTAGTCATTCTTTTGGAATTTTCTTCACTTCTATTAGTCTAATAATTTATGATTTATGATCTTTGAAAGCTTTTGATAAAATGGTTCTAATGATCATATTTCTATCAAAATATAATCATTAAGTTAAAAGTTATTTCAATTAATAGTATGATTCCTTAATTTCTATTTCAAGAGCAAAATTATAAAAATTTTTTATTATTATGAAAAAGTTTGATGATAACACCTTTGATAATATCTTTGTATTATTTTTTAACCTTTTAAAATATTAATCATATTTCTTTATACATATCAATATATTACAATCAGTTATTAAGAAAATAAAGTTCTAAAAAAAATTTGATTTTTCTTTAGTATTCCTATAGAATATATATATATATATTAATATTATTAACAGATTTTTTGAAAATTCAGGCTAAAAATAAAAAAATAAAGAAGTCTGATTTTTCTTAATGATTTTTGGTAACATGATAATACCTATCTGAAAAATCTTGAAATTATGAAATAATTATAAATTTTATCAATAAAATTTCACCAAAAAGTTTTTATTCATGAAAATAATTTTATAGTGATAAAAAACTAGTATAATTTATATTAGATAATACTAGTTTTACAGTAAAAAAAATCAGTTAATTTCATATAGATATTGTCCAAGAAGTCCAAGAATGCCTTGTGACAATACTGCTATAGTAATAATATTACATAATAAGTTATTAATAATTTATTATCATATAATCATAATTACATGATTTAAAAGGATTAGATATAGTAATATTTTATAAATCCTATTTAAAAATTATTACTTTTTAATAAAATATAAAATTATGATAAAAAAAAATAAAAAATAAAGTTTAATATATTTAATATATTTTTTATTAACTTTATTTCAAATTTATTAAAAAGGTCTTTAATATTATTTAATTTTATAATTAATAAAATTGCTAAAATTTTAACTAATAAAAAACTTTTAATTTTTTTATTATATAGTAAAAAAGGAGTATTTTAATAATTGCAAAAAAAAAAAAATATAACTAGAAAACGTTTTCGGAAACCGTTGTTAAGTCCGGAACACAAGTGTAATGAAAGAGACCAATCACGTATCCAATTATTTTAAAATTTACTATTTCATTGTTAAATATATGTTAAATTACTAATAAATCTATTAACAAAGGCCTTCTTTAGTCATTCATTTCATATAGTTTTTTACAATTATACCGATTTAAAAGAAATATGACTTTATAAGAAGTCAACTTTATTATATATACAGTATATTATTTTAAAAATTTATCTTGTTTTTATATATAAATTATGATATTTAAAAAAAGACTCGAAATCATTTACTAAAAAATTAAATAAATTTATAATATATCAGATTACATCTAAGAGATTAAAAAAATATATGCAGACTGGGATTCGTGATTAAATATTACACTGTATCACTACCACCCCTCAATGTTTCAGTAAGAGGCATATTCGTCACACCTTATTTGACTGTAACGTTTTATAAATTATAGTTCAATTGTTTTCCATGTATATTTTTAAATAACACAATAGATGAATAAAATACATAAACATGTGATTTGATAGAAAAGAACTAAGCACAAAAAGTTTTAGTAAACATTTATTAGTTTTGGTCGGATTAGTTTTATAGACTATCGCCAATTCGGAAATCGTCAAGCCATATTTTAAACGTTTGCGGGGTGATTCTGATTAGGATTAATGTATGATAATTTTGTACAAAGCCTTAAAATCCAATCAGAACTTTATTATATATGTATCATAATTCATACAAACAGTCTTTATAAAGAAATAATATGCATTGAGAATTTACATCTAGATTCTAGAATCATTATTTTTCCTGAACAGCGGTCAATTTTTTTTTTCGCGTTAAACAAAAAACAAATAATTAGGACGAATTGGCGTAATTTGTGAAAAAAAAATTAAGGCTGCTTCAAATTCTTGTTTAGAATTTAAATTTAGATTTTGACAACTTTTTATAAACTTTTTTTTTTCTTTAATCGAATTCCACACATCTTAAAATATATATAATTTTTTTCTTCAATAAAACTTCGCCGAATGGCTGCTTTTGAGGTCATAAATTATAATCTAATAATAGAATATATTTTTTTATTGTCATGTAGTTCAACATAACACGCATAGTTAGGAACCCCTACAGCAAGGAACAATTAACTTTTTTCACAACTAATTCGAAATATTTCTCTAACTGTGTAACGATAAACAATCTAAGAATGATATTCATTAAGGCTTTTTAAATAAAATCTAAAAAAAGTTTTTAAGAGAAAGTCTGAAACCGAATAAATATTAAAGAAATTAAATGTATTATTTATATATAATGATCAGCTGCAATTATATAATTTATATAATTTATGCAAAAATCCGATCAAAAATAAATTATGAATCGCCATATATATAGTGTCATCCCGTTCCCGTTTTATATATAGATAGGATATCCGTGTAACATTAAATTTGTGATCCTTATATAGCAATCTAAGCAACCAACCCGCTGGGCTAAGTTGAAATTTTTTCTTCTTTCCTACTGCCACATATTCATGAGAAATATAGAAAATTTTCAATAGCGGAAAATAATCCTTTTATTTTAAAAGGATAATCTTGCACCTTCCTTATAAATTGTTACTTTTTTAAAAAATTTGCTATTTTTTTTTTGTCTGCGACATACTAAAAAAATACTCGTGCATACATTTCAAACATATTTGATTATAATATCCTTTCGCGTTTTCTTTTAAATGGGCTTTTCCGTTCGTTCACCAACAAGATAAAGCATTTGTGTGCATCTGTAACACCAAAATAATCCCCCTTCCCTCTTAAGAAAGAATAGCCAACTTACATATTTCTACTTGACAATATAAAAAGATCCTTGTTCAAAAAAAAAAAAATAAAAAAAAAAATAAAAAAAATTTAAAAAGAAAAATAAAATAAAAAGAAATAAAGGAAAACGGTCAAAATGATAGATCAAAATAATAATAATACTAATAATTATGATAAAGATAATGCACAACAAAGACAACAACAACAAATAGCGAGACAGCCATTATATCAACAACGAAATCGGCTTAATGCTTTAGTTTCTTCATCCCGTGATTCATTATCTTCGTATTCTCAATCTCATTCAGAAACAGATACAACTCATTCTCATGATCCCCTTACGGGTGATATAAGTAGAACTTCATCACCCTCACTGGAAAATGATACATCAACTTTAATGACGCGTCAAGCAAAATTCCCCGAAGCTCAAAATTATATTTATAATAATAATAATAATAATAATAATAATCCCTCCCAGCAACAATTTCTCTCTCAAGGAACCTCGCCACAAATAGGAATTTATATGCCTCCAACTGAACCTCCATCTTCTCAACCAACTTACTCTCCATCGACTTCTTTACCAATGAATCAAAATAATAATAATGATTGGCCTCCACCTCCAAATTATCAATCTGAACCACCACAATATACTCCTCCTTCCACTAATCAAATTAGTTCCAAAAATAATAATTCGGATGTTATACTTGAAGCTGGAAATTCAAATTATAATGACGATGTAATAAAACCAAAGTTGCAAACTGATAGGTCAATTAGAATGGGTGAGTGTCAGAGAAAATTGCTTTTCGAGAAGGAAATAAAAATTATTAAAATAAAATTTTTTTCTCCCTTATAGCCTTTGTAAGAAAAGTATATTTTATTCTTACAGTACAATTACTTCTCACAATTACACTTTCCGTATTCTTTATGTATAACGAACAGATGAAAGAATTTGTAAAAGACCAGTATGTCATCAATCAAACTTTTTACTTAGTTTAAAAACAAATCTTTTTCTAAAATTTTTTTTTCTTTCCTCCTAATTTATTAGTCAATGGCTATTCTTTGTATCATGGATTTTGACATTTACCACGCTGATAATTTTATTTTGGCAACGAAAGAAAAGTCCTTTAAATTTTATTTTATTAGCATTATTCACTATATTCATGTCATATGGTGTAGGAACAATAGGTAAGTTACCTAATCATTTCTAAAAATTGATAATTTTACTTTTGTTCACTACTAATCTCCTACCCCAATTCTTTAGTGTCAATGTATTCATCTAAAGTTGTATTACAATCTTTCTTAATAACTTTTGGAGTGTTTTTGGCTTTGGAAGTATTTACATTCCAATCAAAATATGATTTTTCGTCGTGGGGTCCATTTTTATATGCTTCATTATGGATTGTAATTTTTGCTTCAGTAATTGGATGGCTGTTTCCTTATGATAAAGGATACCATTTGGCCATAAGTATTGTTAGTGCTTTGTTATTTAGTGCTTATATCATTTATGATACTTATATGATATTTAATCGAGTTAGTCCTGAGGGTATGTATTGTTAATTTAACCAAAGCATTTTCGTTATTTCTCTTTCACCGGATTTACTAAATTCATTTTTTATTCTTATTTTTTAGAGTATATATTAGCAGCAGTAGATTTATATCTTGACGTACTTAACTTATTTGTAGCAATTGTAGCGATTATCGGTGGAACCGGTGACCGATAACATTCCAATGCATTTATAAAAACCATACCTCACTTTTCCATTATTTTATTGCGTGGGAAAATCCTTTTATGTACTATTCTTTTTGTTAATTTTATTTTCTTATTTTGTGTAGAATAAGAGTAAAAATGTAATATTCTAATAATTATTATTCTATGTAAAGTAAAAAGAAAGAAAAAAAACTTTTAATTAAATCTAAATTATATGATATGTAAATAATATTACATATTCACGTAATTTAATTTGATAGAATATGAAATTCGGTATGAACAACATTTAAAAAATACCTTTTGCAATAATTTTTATATTATTTCTATAAATGCATTTGCTTGTTGCATTTTGATGTATATAATGTTATTTATAAATTAAAAAAAAAAATTAATAATCATTTGATATTTGGATAAATTATAAATTATAAGTATTACTTATCTCCTAGATAATTAGAAATAATTAAATTTTAATAGAATAAAAATATAGCATATTACTTTTTAAATTGAGTAATAAATTTATTGTTATTACCTATATTATTATATTATATCATTTCATCCTTTTTTTTTCCATTTAAAATAAATTTTAAATTTATCTAACTTATTTGATATGAATAATAATCTATCTATATTGTTATACAAGTTGAAAAATAGACTTCAATACATATAGTAAGATTATAAGTATCTGAAGGATAATGATTTAACTTAATAATCCTAAGAACTTGTTTTTGCTAATAAAACTATAGAATTATTATTAAAATTGTTAAAATTTTATCTGCAGTATATGTTAAAACTGATTTTTTATCATAAAAATATAAATTTTTATTTTTTGAATTAAATATTAATATTTCTAATTATTTAAATTATTTTAAAATAAATAACAAATTGATAAAATTTGCTAATAATATTAAGAAGTTTTTATTTATTATTACTAAAATAAATTATAATTTTTTTATAAAATTATTTAATTATTATAAATTATTAATTTAATTATAATAAAGAAATAATATATCTAACTTTTCAAAATTTTAAATATATAATTATAAGTAAAAATAATGCTGAATTATCAAAAATGATATAATTATAATGCGACTCATATTATTAATAAAAAGATATTTATCCCTTAGATTGTCTAGTAGGCAAATTTGTCTGCGAAATTAAAAAAAATTGTTAATTTCTTTATAAAATATTAAATACTAATTTTATTATCTTAACATTGACTAATCAAATAGATGTATAACTTATTGAATTCGTTTAATTTTAAAAACAGTATTGACCAAAATCATACTTTTTTTTTAGATATTTTTAGATACTATTTATATAATAAAATTAATATTGATATAATTTACTATAATTATATAATTTGTTATAATTATATAAAAAGTAATTTTCTTACATTTATTATAAAATAGAACTAAAAATTGATTATATTTTTATGTAGTATTATAATTATAAAAGAGATATTTTCTTATTTAAAAAATTGTGACTAAATTATAATATACTAAAGAAGAAGTATGATTATATAAGATAATTATAGAGAAAATGAAATCAACTGTAATAATATGTTAAAATAAAAATATAAAATTTTAAACTTATCTTTCTTATAATTAATTAATTAATTTAAAATTAATTTTTATAAAAAATTTAATAACATTTATAAGATAATATTATTTATGATAATGTTGTTATGATTTACTTAATTATGTATTATTATAATTATATAAAAATTATATTATTTAGATATTATTTTTTGGTTATAGCCATTTTTTTTTTATATTCAATTATATCAAAATTTTTATTTTCTATTTTCTTCAAATATATTAAAATATTCCTTTCTAAATAATTTTTCTTTTTCTTTGAAAGTCTAGAAATAATATTTATATGTTTTCTATTTTCTTTTATTCTATTTATCATATAAGACTCAAAATATTATTATTATTATCATGTATTCATATTATACATGAAGTCGAAATGAAAACCCAAAAGTTGAAATATTTTGACTTTAGAGGTCAAAATCAAAATGAAAAGTCAAAATAACATGATTTTTATATATAGAAAAAACAAAAAAAACAAAAGATGTATGATCTTGATCAATATTGTTCTGATTCATATGAAATAACTACCATTTGATTTCTCGCGACTAGACAAATCTAATGAGCTAATAGTCATTGATTTTGGATCAGCCTATCACGAGATATTTACAATCAAATTTAAAATCTGAGCTTCTTTATTTAAAGTAGAATTTATTGATTTATAATTTTGGCTGATAATACAATTGCGATTATCTTAAGATTAGAAGATTAGAATCAATGAATATTAACTCATTGGATCTATCTAGTTGTGAAAAATTTAATAGTAGTTGTTTTATATAAATTGGAACAATATTGACTAAGATTGTACATCTTTTATTTTTTTGTTTTTTTTATATATAAAAAATAATGTGATATAATGTTATTTTAACTATTTTGACTTTTAACCTCCTAATAGTCAATGTTATTTTGACTATTTCAACCATTTTGACTTCATGTATAATTCATATGTTTCAAAAATATAAAATGATTAAAGTATTTTTAGGTTAGATAGTATTTATTAGGATTTATTAGGGTTTATTGAGTTATTATAATTCATTAGGATTCATTAAGATTCATTAGGATTAATTATATTAGTCAAAGTTTATTAAAATTAGTTAAGGTTTATTAGGATTCAGTAAGAAATTATTAAAATAAATCTAATTTTATATTTGCATTTTTTTCTAGGATTAGAAAAAGTTTAACATATTTTTACCTAATAATGATAGTAAAGAAAAAAAAAATTGAAGGAGTAGGAGAACATAAATATTATATATGTTATAAAATAGGACATTTTGATTTTAAGTATTTCAATTAGAAAGATATTAAATAAAGAAATAAAGTAAAGCATATGAGAGCTTTGCAATAGAAAGGAAGGAAACTCTAAAAAAACTTTTTTTAAGATAATATTAAATATGGATTTATTTAACTAAAAAATTCATATTTTGCTTATAAAGTAAAGTTTTAATTTTTTTAGATTTCCTTTTTTTCTATTACAAAGCTTCCATATAATAAATTAAAGTAATATAATGAATAAAGTTCTGTTAAAATAAAGCAAGTATATTTGATTAAAAAAATTTTTGTTTTTATTAAAAAAGTTTAGTTTACATTATATCATGTAAAATCATGTGTTTATATAAGCAATAAATAATATTTGATAAATAAATTTACTCTATTTATCCCTTTAATGGTAAAAAATTGCAGGCAAATTTGCCTGCAATTTTAAACAATTTTAATTAATTTTTAACATAAA